CGTTTGAACCGGGCTCGTGATACCACTTGATAAGCCCCATATTGGGTCTTTTGGCTCAGAATCACGCAACAAACGAATTGAGCTTAACTCAATTCCAAACTCAGCAAACTATGGATGATTAGCACAATGAAGATGGTTAATTTCGTGCAATTCTTCACGAGGAGAAAGGCTCGAAATAGATAGTTGATGCTTGACCACGATCAAGGGGGTGATTGATCGATACAAGCTCAGCAAGAAACCTAGAATCCCTCTAAGTCACTCTCCTCAAACTCACGAAGCACACAAGCTTGTGAACCAACTCGGGTTGTATTCAACTTGAACAAAAAAAAACTGAAAATTACAATCAATTGAAACTCTTAAATAGACCTACTCTACTAATCAAACATCTCTAGAAATCCTTAACACAATCAAACACAAAAACCCAGCTCAAAACGGAAAAGGTAAAACATAGTAGTAGTAATCCTAGTCCGAGTCGGATTCGGAGTACTCTGCAAGACAGTCTTCTTGGCAGCTTCCATATGATCTTGCGTGTCTTCGTTGGAAACCTTCAAGGTATGGTTTTGATCACCCAATGCCTCACCGTTGCTCTATGAGAAATGTAATTTCGTGTGGTTGTACCCTTGAGACTCGATTCCCCTTCAATCCCCTCGAACCAAGCTCCAAAAGTTGGTACCAAGACTGTCTTCCAGACTTAGAGAAATCTTGGCAGTTTTCTGGTTTCAGCATAGGGTTTTGAGCAGCTTGAAAATCAGTCTTCCTGGCCTCTTCTTGAGCTTCCAATCTTTTCCTCTTATAGAGAAACTTCCCATCTTCACAACAAGCCTTCATTCGCCCTTTTTCATCGAGCCAAACACAAGTTGCATACGTGCAAAGAAGGGTACCTGAAACACTTACAACACTTGGACAAAATTCATAGTTCTTGTTAGTGTTTGAGATTACTTTTCGATCAAGCAATCCAAGCTTGTTGGTTGACCCAAATTGGATCATATCACTTTCTATCCTATTTACGTTCTATCTATATAAACTTATCATAAACTACAAATTGATCCTTTGTATCAAGCTAAACGTGGATCGATTTCAGGTTAAGCTTGGAGGTTAAATCGCCAAAAGTGTGAACTGGAAGTGCATTGGTGAAGGGATCTGCCAATTGTAAGGTAGTGGAAATGTGTTGTACTTTCAGTTTGTTGGCTAGGACTTGATCTCTGATGAAGTGGAAGTCAACTTCTATGTGATTTGTTCTTTCATGTTGGACAGGGTTCTGCATCATCTTCGCTGCTGAAAGACTGTCACAATAGATCGTGTAAGGTTTCTCAGGTTGAATTGGAAGTTTTCTGAATATGGATGTCATCCATTGCAACTCTTGTGAGGTGTCTACTAAGGCTCTGTACTCTGCTATAGCCGAGGATCTGGAGATAGTTTGTTTCTTCTTGGATAGCCAACTGATTAGAGAGTTACCTAAAAAGACACAAAAACATGTCACTGATCTACGAGTGTAAAGGCATCCAGCCCAGTCTGAGTCAGAAAAAGCAATGAGACAAATGGAATAATTTGAAGGAAAGAACAAGCCTTTGGCAGGTGTAGTTTCTAAGTATCTTAGCAATCGATGAGTGGCTTGCTCATGTACTGTGGTAGGAGAGTTAACATATTTGCTTAACTGATTAACAGTATAGTAGATGTCAGGTCGTGTGTTGCATAGATATCGAAATCGACCAATTAAAGTTCTGGAACTACTGTGATCTGCATCATTAAGTGGAGTGCCTTCATTAGTAGAGAGATGATTAGTAGGTATAGAAGGAGTAGTAGTTGGCTTTGATGCCAAGAAACATGTATCAGATAACAAATCAAGTGTGTATTTTCATTGACACAAATGAATTCCACTTTAAGATCTGGAAACTTCCATTCCAATGAAGTATTTAAGTGCTCCATGATCTTTTATAGTAAATGCAAGATCCAGTTGATGTTTTACATGGTTGATTTCTGTCATGTCTTTGCCTGTGAGAATAATGTCATCTACATACACGAAAAGGGTTGTAAATAACTAAGCAGTGTGTTTTGTAAATAGAGAGTAGTCACTGTGTGATTTTTTATATCCCAGATGTTCTAGGGTTGTAGCAAGCTTGCTTAAGCCCATAGAGGGACTTGGTTAACTTGCAGACTTTGTTCTTTGTCTAAAGGATGAACTGGAAGACCAGGTGGCAGCCTCATGTAGACTACTTCATTGAGGTCTCCATGAAGAAAGGCAGTGTTGACATCTAGTTGTTTCATATGTCATTTGTGAATTGCTGCTAGGGCTAATAGAACTCGTATTGTTGCCATTTTGACCACTAGAGAGAAAGTATTTAGGTAATCAACTCAAGGTGTTTGTGTGTAGCCTTTTGTTACTAACCTGGCTTTGTATTTATTAATGCAACCATCTTGTTTTAACTTTAATCTAAACACCCATTTATTGCCAATGATGGGAACAATGGGTGGAGGATCGACAAGGACCCATGTTTTGGTCCTTTCTAGAGAGGAGAATACATAATTAACTACTTGTAACCAGTCCTTAGATTGAGGCTCGCCTAGGCTAACGCTTTGCGCGCATCTGGATCTGATAATGCCAATCTGCTTACGTTACGCCAGCTTTGCTGGTGCAATTAGGAATATATATATCACCTGGTCAGCCGTACCTCCTTCATTCCTATAATTATTCCTATGTCTGAAAGCTGCAACAAAGGAAGAACAAAGGGGAGAGGAGAATTCATAATTAACTACTTGTAACCAGTCCTTAGATTGATAAGCTTCTTTGTATTTTTTTAGGTTTCCTAGCTTGTTTAATTGCTAGTGCAAACCTCTTGTGAGTTGTACTAAGGGAGTTGTCAGAGAGCATAGCTTGAATAGGATATATTGTTTTGGAAATAAGAGTAGCATGGCTAACAAGATTACATTTGTAATCTTTGAGTTTAGCTGGCTTAACAGTTTGCCTAGTTGATCTCCATAATTGGGGAGGATCTGTAAGAACTGAAACTAATGTAGAAGGTGTATTAGTAAGAAGTGTAGAAGAATCTGTAGAAGAAGATTCTACTAGAGGAATCAGTTGATGAACAACCGATTGAGACAGTTGTAGAGGAAAGTTGGTGTGAGCTTTGGTGAAATCCAAGTCTGAGGAGACTGGTGAAAAAACTGGCAAAAGAACTGAACTATATGATTTTTTAATTCCACAATCACAATAAGGGATAAACCTATAGTTTGCTAACTGATCCCGTAAGGCTCGTTGCTTAGAGTAATGCTGAGAAACACTCATTGTACCTTGATTGAGATTGAAGATTGCTTCTTGAAGATCAGCAATGCGTAAAGAATCTCCTTGCGAGAATCGCTCACGTAATTCAGTCCAGGCACCAATTGTAGTGGTCACATACAGAATGCTCTCGACGGTGGTAGGGTTGACAGACCTCTGAATCCAACTGAGAAGCAGTTTGTTGTTGTCATTCCAAGGCTCGAGCCATGGAGAATCGTCGTTCGGCTGCGGGATTTTGTTCTTGTCGTCGATGACCAAGACCATCGATCTTTCCTAGCTTGAGAAATTTTTCACGTTGAGCGGCTGAGAGACTAGGCATTGGCCCCAATTCTCCGAGAGATGGATGAAGAACGGAGAGGCGAGATCAGAAATCGGAACGTCTTTGTACAGAATCTCACCAAATTGCTTTGACGAACTACATTGTGAGAGTTCACGACTTCACACCGGAAGAAGAATCACGAATCGCCATAGGAGGACGATGTCAAGAAGAAGAAGAAGAAGAAGAAGAAGAAGAAGAAGAAGAAGAAGAAGAAGAAAGATGCGGAAGCAAGAATGTGAGACGAAATCGGCTCAGAAGGGCTCTGATATCATGCTAGATTTCTAATTAATGCTTCTTGTTTATTGATTGAATGATAAAACGTACATAATCCAGCTAGAGTTGCTGGTTTTATACTCTGGTTTACAGAGAGGGAAAGTCAATTATGAATCCTAACTAGCTGACTAAATTACATTTCAGTACCTATTATATCCCATTTACATTCTATCTATATAAACTTATCATTAACTACAAATTGATACTTTGTATCCTTAATAGGGACGTGGGAATGTTTCTCTGTTGGTGTTGTCTAGAAGTAGTGAGGAGTTTGATGCAGGGCATCCAACTGGAGCTGTGAACATTCCTTACCTCCTCATGAAAGGAGCAGGTACCCTGTCAACATATGTGCATATGAAGCTTTAACAGTATGAATAAACCGTTTATTTGACACATTCGCATCATAATCCATCCAGATATAAACAATAATTCAAAGTTCTTGGATGAAGTACTGACGAAATTCGAGAAGGAAAAATAAATTGTTGTCGTAGGTTCTTCCGGATACAGATCGACTCTTTATCTTTTCATTTAATTAATAGAGGATCGAGACCTCCAATCCATGGTTTGGTCTGTTTTTGCTTGATAAACAGGGTTGCCAGAGCGGAAGGAGGTCACTCATGGCTGCTGCTGAATGCTGATATGCAAGCTGCTCCGACCGTAATTTGTGCTTGTGTAGAATGAAAAATGAAAGCCAATCTAATAAGAATGAAAAATCATCCCCTTCTCCATTAACATTGAGGCCTGCAAAACGCCCTTGAAATCGGTACAAACCATCCTTCGTACATAATTTGAATAAATTCTCAGTAACGTAATTAGGGCGAATGAGAAAGAACAGCCAACGAGTTGGGAACTCATCGCCAGCCAAGGACTTGCTCACCGACAACCTCTGCCCGCCATTGATGTTCCAACTGATTTCTACTACAGAGTATACACAAAAAATATAGACAGAAAACAGCCTCTTTGAGTCACCCATAAACATCAAAAGTTGAATTGATGTTAAGGATTCAGAAAGGCTGCAACTTTGTTGACATTTTCATTGCAACAGTTTTGCAGTCGATAAGACACGGATGGAATCATGCTTTGCTTGAGACGAATGATCTACGAAGCTCTCAATGTTCAATGCCAAGGGTCTTATGCGCGACTAAGGCCATGAAAAAACCGGTGGTTTTTCCTCTTGGAGTGATGCCCAGAAGCCTTAGCCGCAACATATGGCACAAAATTCACCTGCAATTGAAGTTCATGAAAAAGGTTACTATGCAGCAGCTTCGAATGAAAGCAAGGAGAAAAACTAATGTGCAGGCAAATAACCTGAGAATTGTTGCGTAAGCCGAACTCCTGAAGGGGAGAGTTGTCGTCGGTAAGCTTTTGGTTATGGTGGGAAAGGGCAAAGTTAGCCCAAACGTGCCTCCTGCAAACAGAATGGGAAAAAAGATGCTTAACTTTCTCGCAGAGAAAACGCCATAGATGCTTTTATGTTTATTGTACTACCATGAAATGTGGCGATGACCCATTTTCGATTGCTCCATTTCGGTCACTTTCCTCGTGATCGCTACCTTCAAATCCTTTACGGTTGCCGAGTTCATCACCGCCACGTCTCCTCTCACCAAGGGTCGAAACACACAAGTTAGGATGACAGTTGCAGGCTAAATGCTCGACGAAATGCCACAAAGAGGAGGGGGGAATTCTGTTCTTTTTTTCATTACCCAAGGTGGTTCCGTCGAGTTTGAGTACGGAGACCCGCATCGCGCTGCCGAGTTCGAGGCTGATTAAAGTGTCGACGTCAGATAGAGAAGGGTTCTTGGGGACGTCGGCGAGGACGGGATCGTCGAGGAGTGCCGATAGAGTCGATTGCAGCTTGGCTTTCTTCACGTTGCTGCTGTGGTAGTAGCTTCCGATTTCTTCTTCCGATGCTACTGCTGCCACTTGTGCTGAACTGCTTCCCACTTTCTCCATGTTTTGTTCTTTCCCCCTCTTCTTCAAAGCCTCAATCTGCCACCCGCTTTCAAGCCAAATATGGTGGCGCGCGTAACTGTCGCTTCAATTTTCCTCTTTGATACCCGACAGTCGATCCAGTTCTTCTCCAGAAACCCTGGTTTTCTTTCAGCAAACGGGCAAAGAACACAATCAAGGAAATAGAAATTAGTTTATGGGCTTATATTGGTTGGGCTTATGAGAACTAGCCTTCTTCGGTTCAGACACTAGTAAGATTATTGGGCCCCAATGAACATATAACGTACCAACTACCAAGCCTTCTGTTTCTCCTTCCCAGAAGTCCTTAAACTAGCAACTAGCTGCTGCCGCTAGTTTTGATCTATTTCTACCTCAAGAGAATAACCGAAGATACTAATTAGTCTCACCCACAAACAAAAACGTGGCCATTGCTTGATGTAAGGATTCAGAAAGACAGCAGCATTACATAACATTCGTTACGAACAGCCTTATGCTCGACTAATGCCGTGAAATAACAGTGCCTTTCTCTTTCTGGAGCTGTTCTTGTCGCAGGAGAAAGTAGTCTAATGACTCAGCAAGCTCGGGAAGAAGAAGACATTTTTCCGGTCTAGGCCGCAACAAAAGACGGGGCGAAGTTGTAAGGTTAGAGCAATTAAGGCTTTGTCTTGCTTTTCGAGCTCTGTCTTGGGTTTCTTACTTTCTTTTATTTGTCTGCTGTGTTCTGATTTCTGGAAAACTAGTGTGAAGGAGCTACATTCTACCACATCGCTTAAGCTAATTTACGAAGCTAGAGGAGTGGATATAAAAGGACAGCTCTGCACCCGGTCCAATTCATACCTTTCTCGGCCTTTTGGCTAAGATCAAGTGTAGTATCTGTTCTTATCAGTTTAATATCTGATATGTGGGCCAATGGCCCACACGATATTAAATTAATTTTTATAGGGGGAAAAGCCACTACTAGAGCTTGCTCTAGGGGCTTCTCAATTGTCGTCCATGCGTTGCACTATTGCAAGGACTGGCGCACCCCACCAATACTAGTCCAATAATCAATTAACTGTAGTCCTGAGGTCTAGGGATTGTTCAGTTATTATTATTATGTTGTATGCCAATTAACTATAGTCCAATAATCAATTAACTGTAGTCCTGAGGTCTAGGGATTGTTCAGTTATTATTATTGCGTTGTATGCCGGTGTGCTTATTAACGTTTTCAGTTGTGTGTCAAAAATCTGTAACAATGTCAATTTTATCAAATTTACATGAAAATCTGTAACAATGTCAATTTTATCAAATTTACATGAATTTCTTATACACACTTATGTTTGTGATATTTTAATGTAAATAAATATTTTAAAGTTCATCTAAATTCATTATTGGCGGGCAATATATGAAATGCTTTGCCCAAATTTTATAGATCTCGACTTACACATTGATCGAAGTTTCTCTATAAAAGGTTTTAAACATCAATATTTCTTAAAGTCGGACACAACCATTTGAGACAAATTATTGACTCATAATTTAGGAGCTTAAAAAATGTTATTAGTCGAACACTCAATCTTCCAAAAATTATATTCATATAAAAATTAAAAGATTAAAAATTCGTTAATTAGAAATATTCAACTAGTACCGATTTTAACAAAAAGTCAAGAAGGGTTTTCATATTATGAAAAAAGAAAAAAATTAGATTTGGTGTCTACACTGCTAAACAAATCTATATATCCTACTAGACAATAACTCAAAGTTGCAAAGAATCTTTCAACACTTGTTGTCTAACCGTAAAATCAATTCAAATTAAGGGTAACCCGTAATTCGTCTAATTGATAGGTTTTGAAAATAGCCGCAGATAAGAGATAACATTTTTACTATTACATAGTGTTGGGCCATAGTTGAGCGGTATTGGACTTAAGAGCCCAAGGAAAGCAAACAGGCCCGGCCCAGGAGTAGTGGGGCTGTAGGCAATAAAATATGTTAGGCGGTCACTCTAAAGACAAGGCAGGCATAGACCGCCTGACATAAAGCACTGATGGTGACAAGATGGAGAGATCCTCTAAGATACTTACCACGAAGCAAGTAGGACTAAGCATTAATTAGTTGTCGTAGGCGGCCTATAACATGGCGGTACATGATTAGGGGGCCTAACAGAGCATTTAATGTTCTAAATTCACCTAACTGGGTATAAATACCTCTACACTAGCATTGATGGTGACTCAACTACTTCCCTTCTCTCTAAACATAAACACATTCTTAGATTCTCTCTCTAACTTAAGCACTGGAGGGTGTTTTGGACGACCGCCCAGACCCTTATTTTGCAGGTTTAGGAGCACTACACACCATCAAGAACTGAAGCTTCGATCGTGCCTCATTTCACCGCCTAGTACATTCTAGGCTCAAATAATTTGGCGCCCACCGTGGGGCATAGGGCGAGACACTGAAGAAAGGATGGATGAGAACTCTGGAACTCCAGTCAAAGGTGTGGTAGGAAAAGAGAGCATCTGTGGTTTAGAAATGCCAACAGTGGAAGAAGAGATGGAAATATAAGACTGCGTAAAGAGTCAGGGGCAGTAAATATCTAGCATGCAAAAAAGCCTCAGCCAAATCCTTGCCATGCTCGAGACACAAGATACGCCTGAGAATACTAAAGAAGAGCCTGAAAGCTCTAGGAAATAAAGGGCCAAAGGCAAAGAGACAAGAGAAGAAACTCCTGCCAACCCTGCTCGGACAGAAGGTGGGGAGTCCGTGGAAGAGGAGGATGCAGAAGAGCTTAATTTGAGCTTCTTAGAGTAACACCTCAGGCCATCATATGGAAAGGCAAAAGGCCATAATGTCCTGCAAAACCCTCTTGTGAAAAGCCTGTTTAAAACACAGGTTTCGTCCAACTTTTCGTCACTAGGGTTGCCAGCCTACAGTGGAAACTCAGATCCAACATACCACTTGAGTGATTTCATGCTCAAAATGCAGCTCATCAAAGCCTCTGACGCGGACTTATACAAAACGTTCCCGGTCACGTTCAACGGTTAGTGCAGAACTTGGTACACTTCCTTCCCCGAAGGAATAATCGAGAGCTTTGAGCAGTTCACCACGTTGTTCTCGTCCAAATTTGTATCTCAGAGGATAAGAAAGCTCAATGTGTCAGCGCTTATCAACTGCAGACAAGGAGGAGAGGAGACGCTAATGAACTTCTATGACGGATGGAATACCATAGCATGCGAAGAGCAAGAGATCTTCTTGGCCAGACCTAGACCACCTGGTAAGGAAGGCGATTGTGTTAGAAGAAGCATTGACAACAAATGATAGCGTGAAGTTCGTCAACCTTGAAAGAGAAACGGTAGATAAAGAAGGGCAGATAAGGCAGACAAAAGAGGACGCACACCGGATAGGCAAAATTACAAGTCTCAGTACACAAATCGAGACAACCGGCATGAAGTGTTCACCGCTGATAAAGAAGAAGGGTGTCGAGAAAGGAGTAGGTCAAAAGACGCGCATCGGACACAAAGAAGAGAGGATGATCGGAAGTGGTGTGATTGGCACCAAATGGCAAATTACGACAACACAGAGTGTCGTGAGTTCAAAGCTAGTCTCAAATATCTTGCACCAGGAGACTTGAAGAGGCGTCTAGACACACGACCTCGCAACCGACAGAGAGTACAAGAAAGGGAAAGGTCACCAAGCCCGACAAGAAGATCTCGTACGCCCAAACGTAAAAGATCAAGATCGCCAAGGCGAGATCGATAGCCTCGACGAGAACGATCACCCCGACGAGAGCGCCAATCACCACCCCGAGGTGCACTCCTCCGCAACGATAGCCTCGTGTGAACGATGATGACGTGGAAGTCATAACAATATCGAGAGGATGCAAGCGGCCTCAAACAGAAGGAGATCGACAGGTACAGTGCCTAAGCGTCCACAAAAGTGAGTAGGTTGAGATAATCTTTACACCTTCTGAGTTGGCACCCTAGGAGTGCGGAGAGGATCGATTGGTTATCTCCTTCCGAAAAGAAAGTTAAAAGTCACAAGGGCATTGGTAGAAAATGGAAGCTCAGCAGATATCCTATTATACTTCACGCTTAAGAGCATGAAGAAAAGCGTACATGATCTCAAGCCCTCAACAACCAGTCTCGTGGGGTTCTCACGGTAAAGAAAATGGGTGCTGGGATTGATAACCCTGCAAGTAACAATAGGAGAAGCGGGGGTAATGAAAACACACCTTATGGACTTCCATGTAGCTGACTATCCATCAACGTACAATGTGATCCTGGGGTGTGGCTTTTGTCAACTTTCTCGGCGGTTCCATCCACCTGCCACCAGATGCTCAAATTCTCCGCAGGAAGAAAATTTCAGACGCGTCCAAGGAAACACCCAACAAGAGAAGGAATGCTATCTGGCAACATAGAAAGCTTAGAGGTTGACGTGGTTGACACACGGGGAGGCCACCCTCGCCCTGAGGCGGTCAAAGAGGACGCAGTGGTAGTCCTAAATGAAGAAGAGCCAGAGAAGAAGGCCAGAATTTCTTCTCACCTACCAGAAGAGAAAGTGTGTGAGCTCTTGTCACTTCTCAAAGAATACAAGGATCTATTCGCATGGAACTCGAACGATATGTCGCGCGTCTCAAGGGAACTCGCAGGGCATCACCTCTCGGTCAAAGATAGGGCGAAGCCAGTGCAGCAGAGAAGAAGAAACGCCTCCCTAGAAAAACAGATGACCCTAGAGGAGGATAGCAAATCTAGTCTTCGTCAGCAAAGCGTCAGGACTATGGCGATTGGTGAATGTGCATTGATTTCACAAACCTTAATACGGCCTGTCTCAAGGACGCATACCCCCTGTCACGGACAGACCAACTTATTGATGCAACCGCCAACCATGAAACCTTGACTTTCCTCGACATGTTCTCCGGATACCACCAAATACGGTTGTCCGAAGAAAATCAAGAGAAAACCGCCTTCATGATGCACATGAGAAACTTTTGCTACACAGTCATGCCATTTGGCTTGAAAAACACTGGTGCAACATATCAGCGAATGATAGATGCGGGTTTCAAAAGCCAATTGGGAAGAAACGTGAAAGCATATGTCGATGATGTACTTGTCAAGAGCAAGAAGGAGGGTGATCGCCTGAGGGACTTGAGAAAAACGTTTGACAACTTAAGGATGGAACTCCTTCAATTAAACCGGATCAAGTGTGTGTTTGGCGCGAAAGCATGGAAATTCTTGGGATTCATGATCACCAGCAGAGGGATTGAGGCGAATCCAAACAAATAGAAGCTATACTCAGCTTAAAAGCCACCAAAAATAGTCAAAGAGATTCAGGCATTCAACGGTAAAATGGTCGCTTGAAGTCGTTTTATCCCAAGGGCAGCAGACAAGTGCTCCCCATTTTTTCAAATGTTGAAGAAGTCGACGTCGCGACAACAATGGAGTGTCGAGTGTGACAAGGCTTTCTTCCATATGAGAGAGCAGCTGGCCTCGCCACCAGTCCTAAGCGCTCTGCTTCACAGAGAGCCGTTATATCTCTACTTGGCGGTCTTCGAGCAAGCAGTCAGCTCCGCTTTAGTGCGCATATCGGAAGATGACTCAGACCATCCCATCTACTATATATATGCAAAGCGCTTCTCCCGACATAAAAGCATTACATGCCAATCGAGAAGGCGGTTCTATCCGTTATTTCAGCTGCAAGGAAGCTACGACCCTATTTCCAGGGGCACCAAGTCATGGTGCTCTCAAATCTACCACTGAAAAAGATCCTGAGGGGAATGAACGTATCTGGAAGAATGACGAAATGAGCGGTCGAACTAAGCGATCACGACATCGCATATGCACCCCGTCCCTCAATCAAGGGGCAAGTGCTGGCAGACTTCGTCGCAGAAGGCTTTAGCTTGGAGGCTGTAGAGCCAAAAGGAAGAGAAGAGGTGTGTCACCTTTTTGTTGATGGAGCCGCTGGAAAAGGAGGAGCGAGAGCAAGAATCGTTATTGAAACGCCTAAAGGTGTTGTATATGAAATCTCGCACAGACTCCATGAGCTAAAATACAACAATGTGGCGGAATATGAAGTGCTC